TTTTTGGCACTTGTGTATAAAGTCAAAATCATAAATAATATTCAACGTTACAATTGGTACACAATTAAAAACATTTTATTTAGGCCTATCTATGGCCTTCAAAAAGTTGACGACTCTACATGTTTCGACGTCAACTTTTTGAAGGTCATAGATAGGCCTAAATAAAATGTTTTTAATTGTGTACCAATTGTAACGTTGAATATTATTTATGATTTTAACTTATACACAAGTGCCAAAAAACAATAATTAAAAATGTTGTTATTCATTTCAAAGAAAATGATGACGTTTCTGAACATCGGGCTAACCTTTTAAAGTTCACACGTCACGCAAAGCAAGATAGCAGGTTTGACATAAAACCTATGAACAGTAAGAAAGTGAGAGAAAGTGCTGGCGGGAAGTTTTAAACTGAGTGGTTACTGTTGTTAAATACTCTCTGTATGAGGTCTACCACTTTGTGATAGCAGTGAACAATTGGGTTCGCCGAAGAATGATTGCTTTCTTGGTTGCCTAGAGGTGCATTGGCCAGTTTGATCTGTTTTTGACTGATCATATTAATAAATATGGAGAGTCAGAATGGGGTAATACCAAATGTTTGCTTTCAATAAGTGTAAAAAAGTGTATTATTAGTCTTATGACAGAGAAAGTCGTAGAAACCATTGTATTAGAAATCAAAATTGCAAATACTTCCGTGGAAATAACACTTTCGTTGCTAAAGAAGATTAACAATGAGCAGAGGGCAACAATTTCACAAGATCGTCTTTCTGTATTTTCAGTTTTTACTTTGCAACATGACTTAGTATGACTTCAAAGACATTATTGACAGTTTCACTATAACCAAAGCTCGATAAGTGTTACTGTGACAAACCTTTAATAGTACAGTGTATAAATGCCTTACAATTATCTTTGAATCATGGACTGTGTGTGTGTATAATAACATCTTTTTCTCAAGCTTGACCTTCAACATACTTGTTTCGAAACTATAACAACAGAGGTTTCTCGATCACCCAAATAGTACATCGAGTAAAAAAAAAATCTAATAAAGAGTCGTACAGATATTCAAATACAGAAAAATATTTTGAACATAAACTAAACAAGTCATAGAAATGACTAAAAATGATTAATTGTTTATTGACTCTTCGAGCCTAAGCCTTTGAGTTGTGGGTGTTACCACAAGCTTAAATCCAAAATATCGACAAAATGTTTCCTCTGTAACTTCATGATATATTTCACTTTTTCCGTCTTACAGTTTTCTTTACTTTACATTATTTCAAACAATTATGTGGAACCTTATCGAGCTCAAATTAACAAGTTAGCAAGTCATTTTGTTTATGAACAAAATGTATATACGGTGTCATAGACTTTAATTGGCTATAAAAATAAAATTTGATGCAAAACACGTTTATCTTGCATGCTTTCAGTTTCTAAAATTTCGTGCTGGTCATATTTTACAAAGCTTATTCTTCAGTTTAAACACTTTTTTGTTATTGTCTGTTTCAAATCGTGTTAAAAATTTGATCTATTGATGGTTATTACAAAATAATGTCAATATGAAGGTTAAGTAGTTCAATGGTTTCACGCTATAAAAATCTATACAATGAATATCTGTGAAACCTGTTATCAGAGACGTCGCTAGGCACTGGCACACGGGCCCCGAATCCCCAGTTGGTGTCTTGAAAAATCGAAATCGAAAACCATGATCGATATCATACAAAAATGCCGAAAATTCCAGTGCCTATGGGCCCGAGCCCGAATCTTTTAAGCACCCAGCGACATCTCTAACTGTTATGACACTCATTTACAACATGACATACATAAATTACTTCAACGACAAGAGCTATTTGAATGATTAGGGTGATTATAGTAAATTTAATCAACAGAGCGCTAAAAGAAAATCATCAAGTAGCGAGAGTTAGTGACCTCGTCATTTTATTAACTTCTCGGAAATAAATGGTCAATCAAATGCAGAAAGAGATAAGGGTCGGCACTCGATTTTTTTTTCTTTAACTTTTTATGGCTTACCAAATTTTAAGGTCCGTGTGTCTTGAGTTTTAAGTTATTTAAATAACAGTCTCTTAGGATTTTATTGCAAAATAAGTATTCAATATTAAACAAATATCTATAAAGTTTTCTTTTCTACCAAAAAGCAAACAAACAACAAAAAAAAGAAATACTTTCACAATTAGCTCAGTAAATAAATTCCTATGTGTCAAGTTTGTTTGTTCGTAATTAAGCACAAAGCTACACAATGGTCTATCTGTTCTCTGCCCACCACGGGTATCGAAACCCGGATTCTAGCGTTGTAAGTCCGTAGACATGCCGCTGTGCCACTGGGGGACCTTACATGTCAAGAAACACCGTCTTCGTCTTCCACACAAACACACACATATCCCTAGGCCTCACGAAATAACTACTCAAGCGTTCTTCCCGGACGTATGGTTCATGCTTAAGTAATTGTAAATATCAGCTTTACGAGGAAAGGAAAAACGAGAAACGGACCATCCCCAAAAAAATCAGTGACTGAAGTAAGTGTTAATTTTATTACTTCACCTGAAATCACATTTGTGCTAATTTTTAAAGCTTTTTTTATCATAATTTACTTGTCCAGCGCAAATCAAAATAACGTTTTATAACGTTGTTAACTAATATAAAATTCAAAACATTTATATAATGCTGTTATAGTAACTAGTATTAAACACTCATGATTAATATTTTCGATAACCTAGGAAACTGTGATATTCGTTTTCAGCATGTGTCTCTTTCTGGTTTCTATATTTACCATCACTAACCATCTGCAACTGTGAAAAATGGCTGCCATTGCCAGCTAGTAAAACCACAGAAAGTTTATTGAAAATATGCTTAAACTTTGTCTTTCCCCTGCATTGAGAAAAAAACAGTAAAATATTTAAAACTTGGCGTTAGAAAACCTGCTTACAAGAAACAACTTACTGCCTTGTTTTTCCTTGTTAAGTTGTTCCATACTACGCAGTAGCCTCCGATCGTCGTCTTCACTGCGTTGGCTGCCACAGATCACCATGGTGACAGTTGCTCATGCTTCGCCTTGAGTATTTCAGGTAGTCCTCGTTGTTCGATCTTAGTGTGTCGTCACTAGCCTCTCCGCTTTTGCGCTTGCCCACAAGTAAGTTATAGTTCATATGATCATAGGCGTACGGGAGATTTTTCAGAGGGGGGCTTGACAATTTTCACCTGGATAAGGTTATATTTTCTGGCTGTATGTATTGCAAGCCCCCCTCTTACGCCTATGAATATGATATTATTTGACTAAATATACATTGTTTATTATCGGTTCAAAGCAATTAGCAAAAGCACTTTTATTTATGTTAACTTCATGTTGCTGTAATTTATTTACAGATATCAGATAGTCAAATGAATGCACGTGGCCTCATTTTGGTTCATGTCTAGAATACCCTCAACTGTCAGTGTTTTACGGTTTTTAAGTTAGTAGACACGCTAATACAGAAAAACATGAGTGAAGCTGTCGGTAAGTTGTCGCATTTTATATCATACAGGTAGAAAATATCAAACTTACTGCCTGTTCATTGTTACGCAAACAAACCATGACCGAATATAAAAATAGAGTCACTTCCAAACAAATATTTATTACATTTTGTCATATATGTAAAATAAAGACAACGGGTGCTTATATATTGTTAAAGTATACCAACAAAATATTCACGGAATAAAACCGTTCATTTGACTGCATTTGTATATTTAAGAACGTAACAGTAATATCAGTATACAGAGCTCGGTTCGTGTATCATGGGGATTACATTCTTGAAGTTGAAAACAGGTGGCGCAAACATTTTAACAGCATGGTATTCTTGGTTAAACCACGCGATATCGTAAACTAGATTATTTTATTATAATACTAAATGAATTGGTACACAATAACCAGAAATTGCTTCAGACCCCACAAATGAAATATACTCTCGTAAAATCTTTCATTTACATTATTATGTCTCCGCAGGAAGATATGCTGCTTGTTTCAGAGGCGTCGCTGGGTGCTTAAAAGATTCGAGGCTCGGGCCTATAAGCGCGGGAATTTTCGTAATTTCAGTTTGATATCGATTGTGGTTTTCTATTATAAGGATTCGGAACACTGTAAAATAGAATCGGGGCACGTGCAGCAGTGCCTAGCTATGCCTCTGGTTTCTTATGCTTTCAAAAACTTTCCAGTCGACCGCCATTCTTTCATTTCTCGACGGATTGACTTGAAACTTTGTAGGATTATACCTTGGTCCAATACGCCCAGTCACCTTTTTAATTTTTTTATTTAGGCCTTTTAAATGATTTTATAAGGTTAAAGGTAAAACAACTCAATTTTGTTTATTTTGGGCTCCTGTGAGGTCATATTTACAGTAATCAAGATGAAAATTATTCACGTGTATGTCAACCAACATACATGGGATTTGGTACGAAGGTACTGTTACGTCTCCGTTCGTAAGTTAATTTTCCGTAAAT